GTGAACACTACTGTGGGGAAATGTAAGAAATAAAATGTAGCCTTTCTAGTCTGCTCTCCATGTGACAGAGGGGGTAATCAGCCACTGCAGGCCACCTTGTTCAGATGTTAAAAGGATACCACAAATTGCCGAAGAGATGAAGATTAGGCTGTTGGCCCTTGTCAATAATATAGTATTAAAATAATAGTGACATTTTAACTCTATGTTCAGTGTTATAATATCAGAAAATTTGTATGTTTTGACATTTACTGGTCATTCCTAAGAGTCTAGGCAGTGAAATGCATTTGTGGTTTATCAGAAAATATCCAAAATGCTCGTCCCAAAAGACTTGTTTTGTCATTTACAAACCAGCCACCGTAAACATTGTCTTTTTACCAGTAAAAGATGGAAATGATCACTTGGTAAATGTCAATAATCCCGGTCACATGAGCGGGATGATCCGCTGCCAAAGGGAGGCAAATTTGAGCTGGAGCAAAAAGAACCATGGGAGCGCGATCCAACATGCCCCCGTTGCTCCGTGCTCTGGCAGCCGATCACATGTTGTGCAGCAAACCAGCAGTAGTGCGGTTGTGCGCATGTGTGGGACGGGGAACGGCGCTGGCTGTGACAGGCTACCAGCGTTTCCCCGACCAGATGCCTGGAGTCACCGCGCATCATCCGGAAGGTAGTGCTCTGTTGCTAGTACCTTTCAATTTGCGTTTTAGGGCCGAAGGGACAGATTGGGGACTGGTGCGTGATGCACGATCTAGGGCCATCGCTTTGGAGAGAGTTTTTTAAAAATAACTTTCCCCTTGACATAATTTTCTCAATAGACACTCATCCCTATCAGCCACTAGCCCTTTAAGGGGGAAAAGGACAGCTACATAGTGCGCTTTTCCTTATCAGAGCTTCAGCAGTGTGTGTGTGTGTGAGGGGCACGTGTGTGAAAAGGGAATGTGAGAGTTAAGCCCCTCCCCTGTATCATCATGAATCCAATCCAAATGGCCACCCATCCCACAGTTGCTTAAAGTACTTGAGGGGAATGACACTCTGGCCTCTGTCACCAACCAAAAGAATAAGGAATTTGTATCCTCCCAAGAATAAAACTATGAAGAAGGGAAGACTGGCACAGCTCCAGCTATTGGCCAGAGAAGAAGCCAATGCAGCGAGCTTTCTTCTCTTCTTGCCAGAAGGGAAAGGTCACACTCATGTGACAATCCCATGAGATGGAAGGTTAAGGGCTGCAGCAGTTTAAGCACTTTCACCCTAGTAAGAATGCTAGCTAGAGGAGATCAGCCCGCCCTCATGGATACACATGCTAACTGTCCTTCTCTACCTCAAAAACTGGTGGGAAGATTGCCAGAAGGGACAGACTTATAAATACTCTTCTTGTAGCTCATGAGCACATGAATCTGCCTTATACTGAATCAGGCCCTTGGTTCATTGAGGTTGGTGCTGTCTACTCAGACTGGCAGCAGTTCTCCAGGGTCTTGGGCAGAGGTCTTTCACATCATCTCCTGCCTGGTCCTTCTAACGGGAGGTGCTCGGGACTGAAACTGCTAGATTCCCTCTTTAATTGCATCCCTCAGCTCTGAGAGAAAGTAGGTTGTACAGAGACTATGGAAGGGGGAAGGGCAGCATAACCTGCACTGGATACCCGTAGGTTTCTGTCACAATTCAAAGTGCTGGTTCTTACCTTTAAGGCCGGGAATGGCTTGAAGTCAGGGTACCTGAAGGATCGTCTCCTCCCATACCGACCAGCCCACCAGTTAAGACCTGCCTCTCAAGCCCTGCTCTCTCTGTGGCCCCACCTTCAGATGTGAGGTGAGGAGCAACAAGACCAAGGGGCCTTTTCTGTGGCTGGGCCTTGCCTTTGGAATGCCTTCCCCGCTGAGGCTTGCCTGGCATCTACTGTACTTTCTTTTAGGCACCAGGCTATAATGTATCTTTTTACCCAGGTTTTTAATTAGGGGTTATATTTTATCAGCTTTCTAATGGTCTCCTGTTTTATGGATAGTTTTTATGCTGCTCATGTCCAGTGGTTTGTGTTTTAATACTGTGATTTTTAATTGTAAGCCCCCTTGATCAGGACTCTGAAGAGGCAGCATAGAAATATTCTAAATAAACAAACAAATGCTCCATAGAGCACTTTGTATAATTATTTTGCCCTTGAAAAACTGCCAGTGCTATCCCCACAGGCAAGATTCTACTGTATGTACTTTAGCACCATTTGGCAAGTCTTAAGAAAAGCAGCTGGAAGGGGAAGGCATGAGAAGAAGAAGAATAAGAGATTGGATGTATCCCCGCCCTTCACTACCCGAAGGGGTCTCAGAGCAGCTTACAAACTCCTTTCCCTTCCCCTCCCCACAACAGACACCCTGTGAGTTAGGTGGGGCTGAGAGAGCTCTGACATAAACTGATCCTTTTCAAGAACAGCTCTTATCAGACCTACGGCTTGCCCAAGGTCATCCAGCCAGGTGCAAGTGGAGGAGTGGGGAATCAAACCCGGTTCTCCCAGATTAGAGTCTGCGCACTTAACCACTACACCAAACTGAGGGGAGGAATCTAAGATAATTTCAAAGTTAGCCTCTCCGCTGTCCAGTTATTATAATTTAATTACAACAAAAAATGAGGCCTGAGCTTTAAATGCCTAGGGTTAGATGAGGTGCTGGGGGGAGGGGTTCAAAGTCCCCCCTCCCTATGGGGAAAGCAGCAAAGTGTGTGTGGGGGGGTTGGGCAGGGGAAAGTTTAAAATGCCCCTACATCCGCTCTGGTGCCAATAATAAGGAAAAGAGTTGGATTTATACCCAGCCCTTCACTCAGAGCAACTCACAATCTCCTTCCCTTCCTCTCCCCACAACAGACACCCTGTGAGGTACGTGGGGCTGCGAGAGTTCTGAGAGAACTGTGACTGGACCAAGGTAACCCAGCTGGCTTCATGTGGAGGAGTGGGGAATCAAACCCGGTTCTCCAGATCAAAATCTAACTTGCCCCCTCCTATTTAGAGAAATTTAAAGAGACAGGAGATTAGACTGCAAATCTCCATATGTACCAACACGGTGAATTGTGTTTCTAAGGGCATACTTTATGTTATTACCAGAATCACTGCAAAAAGTAAGGGAGAAAATACTACAAGAGGTGGGTGATTCGAGTGATGTATTTTTCACAGCTTAATGCAGAAGTAAATCCGACTGAATTAAATGGACTCACTCTGAAATAAGTGTACACAGTATTGCAGCTTCATTATATTACTGTTATCGCTGGAGTTCAGTACTGGTCCAGCTGTGAAATCCAGCTGTTTGTTTAAAGGTATTGAGTCTCTTAGCTTTGAACAGTGGTGGCTTGTGGGGTGGGGTGCAGGAAATATTCCATCCCCCACCATTATCACCAATGAAGAGGGAGGGGATGGTGGCACTGTTGCCAGGGGGCATTGAGAGGTGGTGGCAGAGCTGTTTTGGCCATAGGAGCCGCACTGCACAGGTGCGCAGGCACTGAATGGCTAGTGGAACCTGGCACAAGCGTGAGGTGATGATGCCACTTGCCAGCATCATGTCCTACTAGCTACTCATTAGCTGCACACCTACACAGTGCTGTAGCCATAGTGCTGTCTTCCCCTCCCCCTTCTGCAGCACCCAGTTGTGAGGCTGAGATATTCCCCATGAGCCACTTCTGGCTTGCAGGGAACCAAGGTGCTGCAGGAACTCTCTGTGTCTAACTGCCTATAAACTCCTGCCAAATGGCAAGGAGGTTTTTACTACTCATTGGGGCAGTCAGGTAGTGAAAACTGTGGTAGAACATGGGGTAGAATGGTAATCTTCTCGGTGTATTCTCCAGCCTCTCACATTAGAAAAGATGGAGGCCTCTCAAATTATACCAAATAAGGGCTGCGGTCACATGGAACATTAGCCACGCTACAGAGACGGAAGATAGGCAGATTTTCCGGGCGCGATCTCACCGGCACATCTGGGAAGCGTAGCGCTCCCGTGGGTCACCCGAGGCTTCCTGCCGAATACGCGTGGCAAAAAACTAGTACCTCGGAGGTACTAGTTTCTGGAAACTACGGGGCAAGGGCAGGTGTCTGATCGCGTTTCCGGTGGCATCCGGCGCCCGCCCAATGTCCCCTCACAAAAAGCTTTTTTCCCCCCCAAGTCTCCATGGATGCGCACAAGCACCCAACAGAGTATGCGCATACTTCAGTGTACAGGGAAAAAAACCTGTTTGCCCTGGAGGAAGGCAAAGCACCCAACAGAGCATGCGCATACTTCAGTGTACAGGGAAAAAAACCTGTTTGCCCTGGAGGAAGGCAAAGCACCCAACAGAGCATGCGCATACTTCAGTGTACAGGGAAAAAAACCTGTTTGCCCTGGAGGAAGGCAAAGCACCCAACAGAGCATGCGCATACTTCAGTGTACAGGGAAAAAAACCTGTTTGCCCTGGAGGAAGGCAAAGCACCCAACAGCCCCCCTGGCTCACAGCTCCCCCCCCCCCCCCCCCGCATTTTCCTGCCCGTGTGACCGGAGCCAAGGAATACTTTCTACATAGACACTTCTGGGAGTATTTGATGTTGAATTCTACAAAGTCTGATCATCCAGAGGTAGGATTGCCCCATAAGAATTCCAAAGAAAGAAACATATTTTGAAACTGTAAGAAAAAGGTATGTTGCCAGATCAGAACATTACCAATGCTTTCTTAGGCTATGTCATCATGGTTATCTATTTAAATTAAAGTTGCTTTTGGCCATTATGTTGTCTCTGTTCTGTAACTATGTCCGAAATAAATAAATAAGGAACAGCTCCTTGAAGAAAGGAACAGGTGGCAAGGCTACCTAGATGTGCAAAGTATGTTTTTGGACTATGGGAGCTTAGCACAAAATGCTACAACAATATAAAAAAGTGGCACCTTAATGCTGCAGTGGCTTAATGGCAAGGCTGCAGGCAAATATGTCTATGCCAAGATTTGTAATCCGGGGACTGGTCTGAGGACAATGGATGATTCAAGGCACCTCGCGTGGTTAGTCTTACCTGGCAAAACCCCAGCAGGTTTTGTTCCCTGAGAGGGTGATTGGTTGGTCTGGCCTGCGTCAGGTATGCGATGGCTTACAGGAGGTTTCTGGGTGATTTCTAATGAGAGCTCCTTGTCACCATCTTTAATTAGTCCCATGGCATGTTGCTGGCTAGAGCTCATGGCTGTGTGCGTTATCGACTTCTGTCCAGAATTTACTAAATAGTTGGAAATTGAAGCAAACACAAGATATCATTAGTTCAGAAAAATCAGGATCTTTACTAACAATAGGAAACCATGCATGCTCTAGTCTAACGAGGAGGAACTGCATGAAGAAAGTTTATATAGATATAGACAGCTCTCCCTTTTCATCTGCATAAATGGTGTTGTGGGGCAGAGGGTGGGGGCACCCTGCTTTCGGCACCTGGGAGGAAAACCCACATTCTGCACTGTATACACAATCCTAAAGAGACAAACAGCAGCACTGTCTCCTCTGACTGCATTCAACAGTGGTACCCCTCCTCCAAATAGGAAATCAGCAGTACCAGTGCTGGTGTAGCGACAAAAGTCTCTGTCAACCTATCTGCATGTTGCTTTTCCTGTTGGTTGGGACAATGATAATCCTGTCAAAAGTGCCTGCCACTAAAACACATACACATGCCAGTGTTTTATACTTGCCCTCAGAAAAACACAACTTAAGGAAACAATGCCTCTGAGCATGTACAAAGTGTCTTTTTGACTCTGATGGTAGTCCTTTCTCATTAGATATTCGCTACAAAAAAGGAGAAGGGAAGAAAAAAGATTATTCAGGGCATGGTAGAATACAGCCTTTTTATGAGGACCAACCACTGTATTGCATGGTAGTGATGTTCTCTCTCTTTCTTTTTGGATCTAAGGAAGCAATGCATCTGTCCATGTGCGGAGTGCCTGTGAGCTGTCACCTCAGTGACAAAGAGAATTATTATTTTTTAAATCACTGGGTTGCTGCCTCTGGCAGAAAAAGCTTTGATATACTAATGGTTGGCTTGGCTGAGTTCTCCCCTTCTAAGCCCATTACTTCTAAGCTTCTAAGCTCCATTACTAGAACATATGAGAGAATTTCAGAGGAAAATCAGCTTGTGTTTCAAAGATTATGGCAAAGCTTTTGACTATGTGGATTGTGAAAAGTTATAGTTGGTTTTAAAAGTAATGGGTGTGCCACAATATCTGAGTGTTTTGATGAGCAACCTGTACTCTGGACAAGAGGCTACTGTTAGAACAGACTATGGAGAAACAGAATAATTTTCCATTGGCAAAAGTGTCAGACAAAGAAGTGTTTTATCTCCCTATCTCTTAAATCTATATGCAGAACATATCATAAAGAAAGCTGGATTGGATTTAGATGGAGTGGAGTGAAAATTGGTGGAAGGAACATTAACCATTTGAGATACGCAGATGATACCACACTGTTGGCAGAAAATAGTGAAGACTACTTGAAATGACTACTGATGTTGGTTAAAGCAGAAAGTGCCAAAGCAGGATTACAGCTGAACATTACACAACTTTAAGGCTGACAAGGAAAAAAGTGAAACTGTGCAAGATTTTCTATTCCTCGGCTCTGTCATTGACCAAAAGGGAGACTGGTGACCAAGATCAAAACGCCAGGGAAAGTTGAAGGCAGCAGGAAAAGAGGACGACCTGCCATGAGATGGATTGCCTTAAAAATGCAAGCCACAGCTCTGAGTTTGCAACACTGGAACAAGGCTATTGATGCTAGGATGTTTTGTAGGTCATTAATTCATAGGGTCACTATAAGGTAGAAGCAACTTGACGGTACCCCCCCCTCTCTCACACACACACACACACGCGCACACACGAACACAAAACCCCAATGATGAACCCAAAGATAAGGTAAAGTTTCAAACAATAGGATGCATTTATTCCACACTTTTATTTCAACTGTTGCTCAATATATTTTGATTTCTTTTTTATGCTACTAGCTTGATACCCGTGCTTCGCTATGGTATTTAAGTTCCATAGATCCGGTTATAATACTGATGATGTGAAGTTTGCAATGTAACATTTGTTGTAGGCAATGCTCCCTCCAAGCTGTGGAGCCCTGTGAGCAAAGATTCTACTTTGTGAGCTACTGGCATTAAACTTGTGAGCAAGCGATTTGGCTACTGCACAAATTAGTTTGCTCTGGAGGCATCCTTTCTTAGCTAAGACAAAAATGTGTGAGCCAGAGGCTAGAAAACTGTGCGCTAGCTAACACTAACTCAGCTTAGAGGGAACACTGGTTGTAGAAATTCTAATGGAGAAGACTGTAGTATTAAAGATGAAGTGAGACATACGTACTGTTTTCCCCCACTCTGCTGAAGGACCTCTCTGTGATTGCCATGCTGGCTGTTATGAGAAATGTCTATTCAGGAGTTGAACTGCTGATTTCTGTAACTGTCTTCAACTGTCTGCAGTCTCTTTTAACTGTGTTTTTACCTCAGAACATTGGGATCCACAGCTGAACAATCAGAGGGAGGTGGGTGCAAGCAGGTGGGTTTTACCTCAGAGCTCTGAGCTACACAACTGACCAACTTGGACGGGGGCAATGAGACAGCAGCCTGCCAGGCACATGGAAAACAATTGGGGGAACACATTTTGCCCCTTTTTTACCCACTTAGGGGTTGTGTTTCTCAGAAATCTCTTCGTAGTTGGGTCTGACGTCATCGTAGGAATGCACTCCCTTTATTTTGGGTTTCTTGGTGCACTGATTTGGCCTGGACATTTTATTTTATTTTATTTTTGAGTGCAGGGCATACTTTTTTTTAAACAAAAATGCTTCTCATTTATGTTACATTTAAGAAGTGGGACATATACGTATTCAAAACAACATCTGAGCAATCAGATATTAAGCAAGTTCATATGAACCAATTTTCCAGAACCCACACTGTGAGAAGTTAAATAACCTGATACAGGAAGCCACTTTTCTACAGATTTGGGGTCTATTTCCATAGTGGGTGGGAGTGTGGCTAAAGGGCCGCCTCCCTGATGGATTAAAGTACCCTGGCCCTGCTCTTGCACCTGACAAACACCCACCTGTCTGTTATAATGGGGGATTGTGTTTAAAGGCATCAGGGAGGCTGGGCCAGCAGCAGCTCTAAGGTAATCCTGCTAAGCAAGCCTCCCTGATGGCTTTAAGGACTCTGCACCCCTTACAACCCTTGACAGGCGGTTGTCTGTCAGGTGCAGGAGGGGTAGCATGTCTGAAGGCATTGGGGAGGCTGGGCCAGCAGGATTGCTAAGACAATGGTGCTTGGGCATCCTCCCTGATGGCTTTCAATGCTCTGCCCCTTCTCCTGCACTTGACAGACAACCACCTGTCATTTGGAGGAGGGGTGGGTGGGAGTGTGTCTAAAGCCTTTGGGGAGGCTGGACCAGCAGCACTGCTAAGGTGTTTCTGTTTGGACAGCCTCCTTGATGGATTAAAGTACCCTGGGCCTGCTCCTGCACCTGACAGACACCTGCCTGTCTGGTGTTGGAGGAGAGTTTGTTTAAAGACATTGGGGAGGCTGGGCCAGCAGCAGCACTAAAGCAATCCTGCTGAGCATGCCTCCCCAATGGCTGTAAGCATCCCACTCCCTCTCCTACACCTGACAGGCAGCTGCCTGTCAGGTGTAGGGGAACATGTTTAAAGCCATCAGGGAGGCTGGACCAGCAGCACTGCTGCACCTCACAGATGTTTGGCCATTCCTGATTTCCTCAACTGTTGTTAGCTCTCTGCAATTTCCTGTAACTGTTTTTACCTCAGAACCCTGGGCTCTGCAGCTCACCAAGCAGAGAGTTGGGGGTACAAGGAGTCAGCAGCCTGACAGCCACATAGGAAGCAATGGGGGAAGCACATTTTACCCCTTTTGACCCCTTCAGGGGTCGAATTTCTAAAAATCTCTTCTTAGTGAGCATCTACGTCATGGTAGGAGTGCTCTCCCCAAATTTCATGCGTCTAGGTCCAGGGGTTCGACCTGGGTGTTAGTTTTACAGTGAGGGGACTTTCGTGTGTGTGTGTGTGTGTGTGTGTGTGTGTGTGTGTGTGTGTGTGTGTGTGAGAGAGAGAGAGAGAGAGAGAGAGAGAGAGAGAGAATGCGCTAAATTTTTATTTATTCAACCTGTCTGGTTATGTCATCTTTTTGTACCCCAAGAATTATCCCATTGATCTGAACAGATAATTAAGGGGAAATTAAGAAAACTTTCCCTGGACATACAGCTTCCAGCATAGGTTTGATTGAAAGCTAAGTGGCAAAAGGGGAGCACCTGAGCAATTACACACACAAAGAGTTTAGTTACTTGCAGCATAGTCCCAAACAAAGTTACACCCTTTTAAGTCCACTGAAGTCACATCTTTAGAAGGGCGTTGCTCTGCTTAGGACAGCACTGTGGGACAGCTAAATCTACAAGTCTGGCTTTCCTCCGGAAGAACCACAGCTGGGTAGAGGAATGAGGTTTAGAAACAAAATCTCCTTGGATCTGGCCACCTGTGTAAATCTGTCATCAGGGTAAAACATGGAAGCCTGCAGAGCCTCCTGTACCATAGCACAGACTGGACTCAGGACCTTCTGCAGGCACCACATGAACTCTCGCATTGCTCTGTGGTTGCTCCCTGTCACAATTACTAATGCTAATGTAAGTAAATCATCAAGTTAACACAAACTGAATGTGCTCTTCACTCACGTTTCTGACAAAAAACCTCATCAGACCCATCAGGACACTGCTCCTCTCCATCGCAGGCGTATGTGATATCGATGCAGCAGCCATCATCACAGAGGAACTGGTAGCGTGAACAAACCCCCATACAACCTACGACAGACCAATTTACAAGAGAACTGAAACACTAAACTGACATTTAAATTAATTCATGCATTTTAAAACATTTTATCCAGTCTTTCCTAAAAAACTCAAGGCAGTTCACAGCCAGCCATAATAAGACACAATAAAATATCACAAAACAGTAACAATTAACATCAGAACCTATTCATATTATACTCTCTTCTGAACTTGTCATGAGTGACATAGCCTCTTTCTAGTCCATTATTATTTCCACTGTAAGAATAATGCAAAATTGATGAATGAGTCATCTCTTTAGAAAGGAAGCAAAATCTGTACAAGTAAAAACCAAACTTTGTATTCTGTTAAAAAAGCAAATTCAGCCATATTATATGGCACAAACTCTGCTTATGCTCCATTTTGTGGGTTTATGAACATACTAGGAGTAAGGTCTGGTGTGGAAAGAAATACAACGAGCTCTAGAAGGAAGCTCCAGGTTAGTGTCCCGGCTGTGGCTGGTGGGGCAGCAGAGGGAAGGGGAAAATAGAGGGAGGCAAGCCATGTTTCTTTCCTTCTGCTTAGCTATAAAGCAGGGCTGTCTGGTCATTTTGCTGCCCCAAGTGGGTAGTATGGGAGGACAGCCTCATGGTAACAGGTATGGTTCCCTCCACCCCTGACTTATGTTGATTTGGGGTTATGCAGTGGCAGCTAAGGTAGAAAACCACCTCCTCTTATGCCATGTCTTCTGGGTTCCAAGGGTCTGGAAAGCAGTTCTATAGCCAATTACAGGGTTACCAACTCTGGGTTGGGAAATACCTGTAGATTTGAGGGGTGGAGCCTAGGGAGGGAAGGGGTGGGGAGGGACCTCAGCAGGGTATAATGTCAGAATCCACTGGCCAAAGCAGCCATTTTCTCCAGGAGAACTGATCTTGGCCATCTGGACATCAGTTTTAATAGCTGGAGATCTCCAGGTGCCACCTGGAGGTTGGCTTGTGTTAATTTGGGGCTGTGCAGTGGCAGCTAAGGTAGAAAAACACTTCCTCCTATGCCATGTTTTCTGGGTTCCAAGGGTCTGGAAAGTGGTTCCATAGCCAATTACACAGTTGCCAACTCTGGGTTGGGAAATACCTGTAGATTTGAGGGGTAGAGCCTGGGGAGGGCAGGGTTTGGGGTGGGGAGGGACTTCATCAGGGTAGAGTCCACTGCCCAAAGCAGCCATTGTCTCCAGGAGAACTGATCTTGGTCATCTGAAGATCAGTTGTAATAGCTGGGAAATTTTCTGTAGGGGAAATGATGTGCTGTGGCTGGGGAACACGGTGATTCTGGGAGATATCCAGGCCTCATAGGGAGATAGCAACTCCAGTGACTGTTTAAGGGAAGATTGGGATATGTATTTTACCTCAGGACACATTCAATAACCTCCAACAGCAACAGCAAACTGTTTAGCATGTTAGAGGCAAAGGCCAATCAGGCAGCATATGCAAATGACCTCTGTGTTCCGACAGGCTATGGGGGGGAGGGAGGAACAACAAACTGTTTGGAATGTTGGAGGTGGGACTCACGCAATGCAGCCAGAGGATAGGGACAGCTTCTGAGTGACACATCATGGAGCCAACTGATTTAGGAGCGTGTGGAATGTTCAGAAAGTCCCACTCCACTTCACAATTATATATAAGGAGAGATACTGTTCTGATTCTAACCATAACCGTAGGCAGTCTTATCCCTACCTACCCTTCAGAGTGACTGACAGACACCATGCTGTTGCAAAACTATTATCTCCACAGTTTTCTCACCTAATGCAGAGGGCACCATTGGAATCACTGTCACCGAGACATTATCTGAGCTCCTCTGGCCCACAGTGTCAGTCACAGTCAGCTGCAAAATGTAGGTTCCTTCTTGCAAATGAAAGAGCTTCACAGTTCCTGGTTGAGGTTCCTAATCCAAAGAAACCAAAATATTCATTGGTCAAGTTCAATTCTAAGGCACTAGCACACCAGCCAAAACTTTTGTAATGAAATAATAACATGTTCGTGTGAAGAGAAGCAAATGTTTTTCTGTTGCTTAACTGCTTCTTGATCCAGTTTAAATAGATCATTCCAGTTTACACCTAATAAAGCAAAACGTACTGCAATCCATCTTCTTAGACCCCTTGGGGGGTTCGAGCGGGGTATAAGCCGAATGTATAATAATAATAATAATAATTAGCTGGCAGGAATGAATTTGCAGGGATGAGCTGGACATTTATGATTTGCTGGGCAGAGCAACACCCCTTGCATGGACCCAAAAGATGATCCAGTGGCTGGGAAGCAAAAGGTAAGAGGGCAGTTCTATAGGTAAGAGAAGTGAAAAGCCAGGAACAGACAGTAGGGGTGGAAGCCTATAGCCAACCTCCAAGTGGGACCTGGAGAGCTCCTGCTATTACAGTTGATCTCCAGACAACCAAGATCAGCTCTCTTGTAGAAAATGGCTGCTTTGGAAGATGGACTGTATGGCATTATACCCTCCCCAGAGGGATGCAAGGTCTGGGTTGGAAAATACCTGGAAACTCTGGGGGTGGATCCAAGAAAGGGTGGGGTTTAGGGAGGAGAGGGGCCTCAGTATGGTACAATGCCATTGAATCCACCCTTCAAAGCAACCATTTTCTCCAGGGGAGCTGATCTCTGTCAGCTGGAGATCAGTTGTAAAAGTGGGAGATCCCCAGGCCCCACCTGGAGGCTGGCAACCCTACCTCCCCAGGCTCCCCCCCCCCAAATCTCCAGGTATTTCCCAACCCACAGCTGGCAACCCTAGAACCTAATTAATAGCAACACATTTTACCAGTATTCTCCTGCTGGCAGGACTCCTGTGGCAAGCAACACAGCCCCAGAAGAGAAATATTTCAGGAATGCTTTAATGCCATGAGCTCCCAGCATACTACATACTCTGTTGGACCACAGTCACACTGTAAAGAAACAACCTCGGTATCTTGGAGAGATGATACCCTTTCAGCGTGCAACAGCATTTATCTAAAATGTTTTATGCTATTCTTCTTGACCACCAAGGTGACTTGCAAAAATTCATAGAACTGGAAACTTTAATAACTCCACAATGGCCGGTACCAAACCAGTTCAGAACTATTTTGGAACAAAGGCCTGGCCTCCTCACATTATAACAACGTTAGAATTAACAGCAAACTACGGGATAAAACAGAATCAATTAACAATAAACCCAATTGTAAAGTGCAGTTTAAAGCAGCAAATTAAACTTGGCATCAGGAATAGTTAACAGAAAACCTTCAAATAAATCAGGTCACCCCATTCCAAGCAAGCCAACCCTGAAATTCTGGGGGGAAAGTTTCGCTGGATATCTAATGGATATGGTATATAAATTCAATGGGAGTCCAGTGGCACTAGCATTTATTCCAGTAAAAAATGTTGTAAATCAAAGGTCACTTCCTCAGATGCATCAGGCATCTGTTAAGAGACAGCACCTGGTGAACACATCCAGGAAGGGAATTCTACCTGCTACTGGCCCATTTACACTTATTCCTTCTTGACTGAGAGTGTATATCAGTAGCAGCCAAGTACAAAAAAATAAACACTGAGGTCTCACATACATTCATAGTAATCACTGATTACTTATCTTTAAAAAACCCTTTGCAAGTGATGGTAACTTTCCTGTCTCCTTCATACTTGCCTATAATAATGTTTTTATTTTATTTATTTATTTAAAACATTTATACCCAGCCTTATCAGAGCAAACTCAACCACAAAAGCTGCAAGGACAAAACACTGTAAGCATCCAGCAAGTTAAACAATACATGCACAAAGTTAAAAAGCACACAGTGATGTGAAGGGTAAATTGTAATCTTAAGTGTAAAACATTGTTGTGGTATTGAAGTATTTCAAACATCCATTTTTGGATATTTTCTGCATGTATTAGGTATAGTTTCTCCCTCTTATCACTACTAAAGTGTACAATCAAATTATGTACCCTTTTTTAAAAAGTGGGAGAAAATCACACAAGATGTCCTCCACATAACCAGGTGCTCACCAAAATAGCCTAACTCACAAGCATCAACCCTCCCAAATGCTATTCCATCACTAACCCAGTGGAGTATATGAGCCAGGCCTCATTCTTCTTTTGCTGCCTGGCTTGTTTGTTTCTCTGCTAATTACTGCAAACTAAAGGCGCACCTCCACCTTAGGGTAACTAAGCTCCCATGGTGTACTGTTAATATCTGTGTCTGCTCCTCAAGCTTAGATCTCTGTAGTGCTGCACAAGTCCCACATGGTTTTTCCCTTGTCCCTGTCTCTGCCACAGAAGGCAAAAGAGAGGAGGAAGACAGGAAGACTTGTACCCTCCAGATGGAGCCAAACTTTCTCCAGTCCAGCAAATGTTATGAAGTGGAGTGAATCCATATGCCTGTATTATAATAAGGACAGATATAATACCAAGTAAGATATCCCATAGAATCTTGTTCTATAAATCTCAGATGAGATTCTCTGTACACAGTTTTATACAGAAAGTTTACTTTTTTGTGTAAAATAATTACCATCATATTGTTACTGTTTTATTAGTTTTACTGATTTTTCACTTTTTAAAAAATGTAACAATTTATTTTAATCTTTTGTACTGAGCTGGGAACCTTATGGTTACAAGGCAACATAGAAATAACTTAGATAAATAACAGTGCGCTCCTGGGTAGGCTTCTGAGCAGTCCTGTTTAGCATTGCACTGTGGAAGGGAATGATCTTTGCAGGATTTTTCCTTCTGTTTTTCCTGCTTGTGTCGTAAGTAGGTTGTGGAACTATTTTGTTTGTTCTGCTGTTAGATCAAACTGGACAACAAATTTCCAGAGTAACAAAATACCACATGCCACAGAGTTCAATTGCTTCATGGAGATGCAAATCATTCAACAAGCAAAGTCGTCCTTCAGCCAAATGTCACCTGGCCTCAATAAGCATGACCTTTTTCCCGCACAGAGTAGCAAGGGCAGTCTGATAAGGCACACTTCTTCACTGCGCTTTGTCCTCTTTTGAAATAAGTTGACTCGAGAAATATGGAAGCTGATTTTTATCTTGTTCAAACATACAGCTTTATTAACAATGGAACCAGCAACAGAAAGTCAGCAACTGCTTAATACACAGCAGGTGAACCAGTAATATTATTGCTGCTCAATATAATCAGCAATTAACTGAGTTCTAGCAAGTAAAATTGGCTGAAGCAGACAAAACAATAGGAACAGTCTATAGCTTTATGGCTATTATGCAATCATAAAGCTTTATAGCTTTATGATTGCATAATATAACAAGACACACCAGGCTTTTTTGTTATGGAAACAATCCCTGGAAGTCCTCTCAGGCTTAACTCCCTACTCTGTGCAGCTCAGCAACTGCAGACCAGGAAGTTTTCAACAAACCCATAGGTGGACATTGGATTAAACAAATAGAATAATTATATCTGACAGCTTTGACTCTCAAAAAAGAGACCAAAAATCTTGTTGTTCTCTAAGGTGCTACTGGACTTTAATCTAGCTTTTCTACTGCAGACCAACACAGCAACCCTCCCACAACAGTTATAGTTTGTTCTTTTGGCCACAGATTAGGATCCCAAACCAAGATTAAATGTTGGTTTGGAATCCTAATTTGCAGGCAAGCGAAACTAACTGTAGTTTACTGTTTCATCCAATTTAAATGAAACAACACATTTTGGTTTGTTTGAGAAGATAGAAGTCTTCAATTAAGCAGCATTCGAAGGGGGAAAGGGAGCATACGAGCCCAGCCATCTTCTGTGGCTCGTTCTCATAATTAGAAACCATGATTTGATTTTGTATCTGAATGTGTGTATGGAATGCTCCACTGGTCAAACAAAGGGGGGGAAGGATATCCAATGTTAGTATCTGTGCACAACCATTCACAGTTTCTTTGATATATATTTTCATCTAACAGATCTACTTTTCTTTAGTTGATTATTATTACAAGAAAAATACTCACTAATTTCAAAGTGAAATGGTCAGTTTCAGATATGGGGCTAATCCCCCCCCCCCCATTTTACAGATAGTAATGTAATATCAAAGAAGAAACTGTAATGCCACATGCACCAGTATACAGTTTTATCATGTTAAATGGCTGATTCTGGGAACTGCCAGGGATGGGACAAGTACTTTAAACATGAGGCTTCTAGGCTAGTGTGTGAAAATACACACAATGGCATTATGTTGGCAGTGGCACCACAGACAAAAGCCTAACCAGGAATGTTTTGACTAGGAGCTCTCAGCGCAGGGCTTTTGTTTCCTTAAGGCAGCAGCATTCCATTCTGCAGTGCAAGCATCCACTTAAAATCCAGCAGGCTTCAAGAGCAGCTTGCAATGCAGTGAGGAGAAGCTGATTCTTGGCAAAGAATCCTCCCCACCCCCATACTTGCATATGTAATTTGGGTATAAGTCCATTTAGGTACTACAGTAGTATACATCGAACAATGAATCCCTCCCTAAGTTGAGCAAATGACTAGCTCTTTGAAATTTATTTCGTTAAATAGATATATATATATATTGCATAATTTTCATTAGGCACATAGCAAAATTAATTTCTCTAATCATTTTTTTCTAATTAAAAAGATGCAGTGGTTTAGAATCTCTCCTATATAACAATCCTGTTTTGGGGTGGCAAGATTCCATGCTCTCCCTCAGCCATTGGCCCATCAGCCGCCTCCACTGTGCCGTCAGAATTACTGGCAAACGGCTTTCTCTCTTGACGAAGACACTTTTCCTGTGTGGTACTAACTTTCCCCTCAGTGGCTGTTGGTAGGTGTCACGAAACGGCAGTTATCTGTAGGGTTGCCAGCCTCCAGGTGGGGCCTGGGGATCTCCCGCTTTTACAACTCATCTCCAGCTGACAGAGATCAGCTCCCCTGGAGAAAAAGGCTGCTTTGAAGGGTGGACTCTATGGTATTGTACTATGCTGAGGCCCTTCCCCTTTCCAAACCCTGCCCTCTCCTGGATCCACTCCCAAAGTCTCCAGGTATTTTCCAACTCAGACCTGGCAACCCTAGTTACCTGTGTTTGTAAGATGGCTGTGGTTATTTGTTTAAAATGTTCTCCCATAAGGTTTAATTGAGCTGTAGTTCCAGAGAGGGGCCTGCAGGGGTAT